AAAAAAAAAAAAAAAAAAAAATTAAAGATGACCAGAAAGTATTAATAAGACACTTCACAGAAAAATACACACTAATGAAAAAAAAGCACATTAAAAATACTCATTGCTCATTAGGGAAATACAAATTAAAACTATCGCTACATGCCTTTTAGAACGACTTAAAATGGGGCCGGGGAGATGGCTCAGTGGAATAAGCACTTCCCTGGCAAGCACAAGGGCCTCAGTTCAATCCCCGGTTCCACCAAAAAAAAAAAAAAAAACAGAATGACTTAAAAAAAAAACTAACATCATCAAGAGCTAGAAAAGATGCAGAACAATTGAGAGACTCATATTACTAGTGAGAATGCCAGCTGGTACCAGCCATTTTGGAAAATAGTTTGGTTGATTATTATGTGAATACAATGTGACCCAGCAATCCAGCTCCTACGTCTCTAGCCATGGGAGATAAAAATGTTCTCTGCAGCTTGACTCATAACTGCAAAAAAATGGAAGCAACCCAATTTCACTGGTGCATGTTAAGCAGTATTACAACAACATTGAACAATAAAAAGGAAATGCTGATATATATAAAAGGATCGATCTTGAAAGGCATTATGAAATAAAAACCAGATTCAAAGTGCTACATACTATATGACTACATTTACATGACACATTCTAGAAAAGCCTGAAATATAGGGGGAAAAAAAAATAGCCATACGGTTGTCAGAGGGTGATAAAAGAGAGGGACTGACTACAGAGAAAACACACAATAATGCTTTGGGGTAACAGAAATATTTGTTGAGTATTTTTGCAGAAGTGGTTATGCAACACTGTGTGTGTTATTACAATTCAAATACACATATATGAGGGACAAAATTCACTAAGTGTAACTTACACCACTTTTCAAAATGGAAAAAGAAATTCTTTACCATACTTCTTAGAATACAACAACTGTATTAAGTAAAAGTTTATGCTGAGTGTCAACAGTCTCTTAGTATTTAGCTAAGAGGAAGAAAAAGATAACCTTTCACCTATGCACACCAACCTGATAAGGTGTGTTTCGTAGCTTAGACTGTCTCGCAGCAGCTGCTGCCCCACCGTATGTTGTCTTCCCAGGATAAAAAGGAGAATCTCCAAGTTGACTCGTTTTAAGATTTGAAGAATTCCCAAGTGACTGCACAGAAGCAGAATGACAAATCATAAACAAAAACACTCAAGACCCATGTGATTAAATCCAATCCAGGTCATACTCACAGAGGAAAGCGTTCCAAAGGCAGACAAGTTGAATGCTGGTTTTTTTGAGCTGGAGGCAGTGTGCTGTGAGACTGACTGGGAGCGATCAGGCTCTGGAGACCACAGATGTGGCAATGAAGTGTTCTTTGAAACAGTTATATCTGAAACAAAAATACATAGTTTAATCTTATACATAATTATAAGACCCTAGGTTTTTCTGTATATTACTTATTTTAAAAAGAAAAAAAATTAAAAATACAGAATCTCAAAACAATAGATTTAACAATGGTTAATATATGGCATATTGTTATCTACGAATTAGCTGCTCAGACTATTATAAAAAAAACATTTTCATGCCATGAAATTTACTCAAAATTACTACCAAATGCTAAGAATACCTTTATCAGATGCTCTTGAAGAAAAACCACTAGTAGTTGAGATGTTATCATCATCATGTTGAGAGGTAGAATCTTTAATTTCCTTTACAAGGGAAAATCCAGAATTGCCAATTGGAAATGCCGAAGATGTGGATGGCTGACAGTGTAATGCAGGGGATTCCAACACAGAGAAATTCAGATGGCTCCGATGAAGAGAAGGCCTTGTTAACACATCTGGATAATTTGAAGCAGTACTAGTTGTTGAAGGTTCTTTAAAAAGGAGTAGTAATATAATGAATACAATACTTAGAAGTAATGCATTATCACAATAAAAAAATGCTTATTTTAAGAAACAGTTTTGATGCAAACCACCAAGGCCTATTATTATAAGCTCAATTTAACTGTTTAGCTGGGCAAGGTTTCATCTAGCTAAACACATTACTTAACCCATTGTCAAAATCTGTGTTAAGTAAATCACATACAACTTCTTACAGCATATATATGACTGGATTTTCTTTAACTAGGGGCTACTGAAAGATTTAGTCACTAAAAAAAAAAAATCAAAAACACTGAGAAAAATCAAGAAACTGCAGGCTTAAATTTTTCCCCACAGAAATAGCCACTATGGGGCCGGGGACATGGCTCAGTGGAATAAGTGCTTCCCTGGCACGCATAAAGACTGGAGTTCAATTCCCGGTTCCACCAAAAACAAGAAAAGAAATAGCCATTAATAATATATCCTCCTAGATATGCTATATGCATATACAAATACAGGTTTTCCCTAAACACATATCATACCTTCTGTTCTGTGGCTTTTTCATTTATCAATATAATTTTTTCAACATTTAGAGCACTCCCTTTAAAAACTGTTTTCAAAAAAATAGTTTTCTATCATGCCAACATATTGATGTCATTCAATATGCCACTAAACATACATGAACTTAAAACTGCATACTTTTAAGAGTACTCATTGCATAGACCTATGGATCTCCACCTAAGTACATATGATAACCATGAGAAAAAGCTATTCAATATTTCTCAGCCATTCACAAATATTATGATTCAGTAGGTCTGAGGTTCTTCTTATAAATTAGCCTACACAGTCCCACACATCCTAAGAATCAATGTAATAAACAATTATGTGAAACTGCTCCGTCAGATTGTATCAGACTGAATATCCATTTTTGCTTGACAAGTATTAAACTGACTCAAAGGATTTCATGGCTGGGCATAGTAACGCACACCTGTAACTCTAGCACTCAGAGGCAAGAGGATTACTGCAAGCTCAAGGACAACCTCAGCTACGTTGTGAATTCAAGACTACCCTGAACTACATAGTGAGACCCTGTCTCAAAAAAACAAAAGAAAAGTAAGGCGCACGGGTGCACACCTATATTCCTAGCACTTGGGAAGCTGAGGCAGGGAGGATGACAAGTTTGAGGCCAGCCTAGGATACATAGTGAGTTCAGGACCAGCCTCAATTATGTAATGAAATTAATTGAATGAAAATTAGTTTTTAAAAAACAAAGGAAATAGCAATGTACATACATGAGATACTGACCATTTCTAATTTCCTTAAATTGCATATGTCAAATAGCATCATTATTTGTATTTATGTAATAAAAAAATTTTGGGGCATCCATCTCTAGATTCACTGACCTTCTGAGATAGTCTCTCAAATTTATAAGATCTATTTTTTGCTCATTAAGATCAAATATGCTGTGCTAGCTGAAATCCTACATCTATTTTTTTTTGGGGGGGGTTGTTTGTGTCTGTATTTAGGACAGGGTCTACATTGCATAGATCAGACTCCTAGTGATCATACTCCTAGAGATCCTCCTATTTACAGTCTCCCAATTGCTGGCATAACAGGTGCGTGCCACCACTCCCAGTCTCAACGGCTGTCTCAGTGCATCCCAGGGGTGGGACCAGCACAGCAGGAGATCCAACTTTGAACTCTGGGCCCCTGCATTTGCCTAAGCAGTAAAATAATCAGCTTGAGAACACATGTAATACCCACTAAGTTATTCCATCTCACCCATCTTCACTTTATTCTTTTTCAGAGCTGCTCTACTCATCTTCTATATTTCTAAGAACTTTAGAGTTATTTGTCAAATTCTCAGAGGCCTTACTATTGCAACCAAACCAACTCTTCTAATATGTGTATAAAACTGGAGAAAATATGAAGCAACCAGTTTCAGATTAGAAAATAACACAAGAAAGCTCTTAAAATGAGCCCTAGCTGAGTTAACACACCTATAATATTCAAATGACGGAACTAAACAAAATGGTCAGGATAGATATATAGTTACATTCTCTTAATGAATAGAGGGATTTGTTCTAATAGAGTTTGTAAATAGGATATCATGTCTGCATCTTGTACAGCAAATAACAACTAGAAAGAAGGTATGCAATGTGATAATTAACAATTATTGAAATTTTCCTACAAATTTGCTTTTTTTAAAAAAAAATATTTATTTATTTATTGTGTGTGTGTGTGTGTGTGTGGCCAGCTCAGCCCACCAGGGGGCGGGGCTGGCTGGCATGTGGTGCTGGGGGATTGAACAGCGGTCCCTGTACTTTGCTTGGCTTAGCTTGTTCTGAGTAGGTGCTTTAGACCACTGAGCCATCTCACCAGCCCCATGTCCTACAAATTTGGCTTGAAACTGTCTCATAGCTATGTGTTTATCAATAAAATTATGGAAAAAAATAAAAATAAATAAGAGCCCTAGGATTACCCGGCTGTCTAGGAACACTGCTAAAGCCAGAACAGAGAGCTGGAGTCCAAGCAAAAAGAAGCATGCGAAAATCAGAAATGAGAACACTGGACTTATACAGGGGCAGAACTCTATCTGGCAATGTCCATCAATGGACTGTACAAACAAAAAGCAACCCCAAAGGCTAATCAAACAGTAACTGCTATGGAATAAAAAAACTGAAACACTACCACTAATAACAGTGCTAACAGGAAAGAAAAAACAGTGTGCCAAGAAACTGAGTTCTGGGGCTGTCAAAAAGTAATGAGAAGAAAAAAAAAAAGTAATGAGATCTGAGGCCAAGGAGATGGCTCAGTGGAATAAGTGCTTCTCTGGCAAGCACAAGGGTCTGAGTTCAATCCCCAGTTCCGAAAAAAAAAAAAAAAAAAAAAGTAATGATATCTAATTAAGGCTCCCAGGTACTCAGCAGAGATATCAAAGAACTTTCTCTAGACCCATCCTAAAAAATTATAGGAGTAATAGTTTGGATTGTAAGACCCACCACATCAAGAGACTTTGGACTTCTCAAAAACATACACTAACACAGCACAAAAACTATAAAAGCTGGAGGCCAGGCAGACGGCTCAGTAGAATAAGTGCTTCCCCAGCAAGCGCGAGGGCCTGAATTCAATCCCCAGTTCCACCAAAAAAAAAAAAAAAACTATAAAAGTTAATTATGATAATTCAGTAATAGGACTGCCTGCTAAAACAAGAATCAATACTCTTCAGAGTCTCACTATATAATTTAGGCTGAACTTGAGTACACTATGTAGCCCAAGTTAGCTTCAAATTCACTGGGATCCTCCTGCTTCAGCCTCCCTAGTGCTAGGATTACAGGCATACATCACCACACCTAGCTAGTAAACTTAATTCTTTTCTTGATTTTGGTCACAAACCAAACTGAGCTCGAGTGGCTATAAATAGGTGCATCATTATAAGTCTGATCTAACAATGAGACCCTGAACACCCTGTAGACCCTTCCCTAAAAAAAAAAAAACCACACACACACACAAACTGAATGAGAACTCGATCAAATTCAATGGTTATTGTCAACATTGACCTTGCAGAGGTTTGATTCAGTTCTTGTCCACTTTAGTATGCAACTGAAATCATGCAAGTTTTGGGGTTTTTTAGGGAAAGGGTCTACAGGGTGTTTAGGGTCTCACTACTAGATCAGCCTTGTAATGATTCATCTTTTTACAGCCTCCCAAGAGCTGGGATTACAGGTGTGCACCACCACACTTAGTCTCAATTACCCTCTCAGTGCGCCCTGGGGACAGGGCCGGCACAGCAGGCCCAGGGATAGGGGGATGGAACCCCCAGTCCCAGCCCCTGTGCCTGTTTGCAGGCACACTTTAATCCACTCAGCTATTTGGCTGGTCCTATCATGCAAATTTTTTAACAGAGGCACCACTGTACTTAAGTCAAAACACAATGGAAGGGGGCCTGGCCCTAGCTCAGTCTTTAAGTGGCTGCTTCCACAAAGCTGTCAGCCTCAGGTTCCTGGAGTTCGAACCTCACAACTCTCCCGCTGGCCAAAAGTGCCCTGAAGGCATTCGAGGAAGGAAAAAAAAAAAACAAACAAACAAACAAAAACACAATGGACACACCTTAAAAAAAAAAAAAAAAAAAAAATGGGAGAACAAAAAATAGTCAACAGGTAGCCAGCTCAGCAGCATAAGTACCTGGCTGGAAAGTACGCAAGGTCTTGAGTTCCATCCGTGGTACTACAATTAAAAAAAAAAGTCAACAAAAATCTTAACCCAAGTATGATGGTTAAACTTTAATTGATACCAGGATTGAACTTAGTATTGTACTTGCCAAACAGACACTGTGCCACTGAGCTATGTCCTGGTCCTAAAAAGAAATTTAAGCAAACACACATAAAGAGATAGGACAATTAATTTCTAGTATTGGAAGATATCTCCTAAATCTATTACACATAAAAATTCAAGTATTCTTCTCTAGAAGAAGAAATCCAGTATGATACATTGCTGTGTGACTGTACGCTGCTAAAAACCACTCTAGCTGGGGAGATGGCTCAGTGGATAAACGCTTCCCTGGCAAGCACAAGGGCCTGAGTTCAATCCCCAGTTCCGCCAAAAAAAGCAATAATAATAATAATTAATAAATTAGAAAAATAAATAAATAAATAAAAATAAAAACAAAAACCACTCTAGTTTTTTGCTAGGTATGGAACTTCCTTACTCTCCATACCAAGCTGAATACAGGACACAGTATGGGAACTTAAGACAAAAACAAAGCCACATTGTTTACAGATTCACACCAGCCATAAATGTCTAGTTTTTAAGACTACAAGTACCAAGCTATCAATCAAAGTAGCCCTTAACTTCATTACTAGTTCATTTAGTAGCTATGCCAGTGTGGAGTCCTTGGTGGTCCAAAATTTTAAAGAATCAGTAAGAATTTAAAAAGTACATCATTTGAGGGTTTCTTCATTCCACTAATGATGAAATAGAAACACCCAATGGCTCACCATCATTGAGCGCCAACACAGGATACATGGGCACAATGCTGCAGGCAAAACTGAATGGACCACACATTCTACTGTTTCTGCCCTGTGCTACCTGAAGACTGCAAAGCTCTCCACCCCCACTGGTATTACTATAAAACTTGTATCAGTAAAAATTAGTATTTAGTAACATTCAGGACTCGCATCTGAATTACTTTTAGCTTTCTACAATTTGACATTACACTGTTTTTTAAAGAATATACTTCAAGCTTAAATGTAATATTCCACAAAGTAAACATAAACTATTATTTCAGGGCCGGGGAGATAGCTCAATGGAATAAGGGCTTCCATGGCAAGCGCAAGTGCCTGAGTTCAATCCCCAGTTCCGGGAAAAAAAACTATTATTTCAGTTATATCTAGTAGGTCTATATTCACCTTATTGGAGAGTTACCACATACTACTTTTTAACACTCCACTGCACGCATTAAATACTTTGAGAAAAGTTAAAGTAAACTATAAAAACCATCTGCAACTCATAAGATTTAATATAAGAGCAGGATTCAGATCTAAGAAACTATAAATCACATGTTGTTTTGTTTTGTTTTTTAATTTGTATTTTAGTAAGGGTCTACAGGGTCTCACTACATAGATCAGACTCATAGTGATCTGCCTATGTTCAGCCTCCCAAAGAGCTGGAATTATAGGCAGGTGCCACCATGCCCATTCCTGCACCCCAGGGGCCGGAATGGCAAGCCAGGGATCGAACCTGGGGATTGAACATGGCCGCTGTTTCTTCCTAAGCAAGCGCTTTAATCCACTGAGCCATTTGGCTGATCCTAAATTGTTTGAACAGAGACTGAAAGCTGCCCACAATTTGCATAGATGGCTGGAGGTACAGCTTAATGGTATAGCCCTGGTACTGAATGTCTTTTTTTTGGTCCTGTTCCTGAAAAGTCAGTCAAAGACTATATATTTTATCACAGTAGCCTTGTAGTATAATTTCAAGTCAGGAATTGTAATGCCTTCTGCCTTTTCTTTATTGCCCAGGATTGCCTTTGCTATTCTAGGTCTTTTCTGGTTCCAAATAAATTTTAGGAATGATTTCTCTAGCTCTGTGAGGTATATTGGTGGTAGTCTGATAGGGACTGCATTAAATCTGTAGAGCAATTTTGAGAGTATGGCCATCTTCACAATGTTGGTTCTTCCTATCCAGGCGCATGGAATATCTTTCCATTTTCTGAAATCCTCTACGATCTCTTTTTTCAGAGTACTATAATTTTTCTTGAAAAAATCTCTGACTTCTTTATTTAGATGAATTCCAAGGTATTTCATTTTCCTCGGTGCTATTGTAAAAGGTATTGTTTCTATAATTTCCCTCTCAGTATGTTTGTTATCTGTGTAGAAGAATGCTATTGACTTTTGGGTACTGACTTTATAACCTGCTATGCTACTGAATTTCTGTATTAATTCTAGTAGCTTCTTGGTGGAGTGTTTTGGGTCTTCCAAGTAAAGTATCATGTCATCAGGCCTGGGCTAGGACTGGATCTCAAGCCTATACATTATCTGATTCTATTTATAAAATATCTAGAATAGGCAAATCCACAGAGGTAAGAAAGTGTTTACCAGAATATGGGGGAAAGAGGAATGAAGTTATTGCTAATTGGGATGGGGTTTCTTTGCAGAGTAATGAAAATGTCCTAAAATAATGGCAGCAATGGATATAGAATGCTCAATATACTAAAAACCAATAAACTACATTTTAAATATGTGAAAAAAAGTATCTCTCATACACAGTGACATGAAAATAATATCTCTAAACATATCGCATTCATGGGTTATACCAAATTTCCTAGATACTTATAAACCATGACAAAATGCCACTAAGTAGATACAAAAGTGATCATGGCTTTAAAATGTTGCATCATTTAATGCAAGATTAATAGGACAACCTAGCTGAGTTCGTTCTGAAGAGGACAGATGCCAACTGCACTTATACCCAAATTCACATGCTATGTCACACAGGCACTGTATCAGTTTCATTATGTCAATTTATATTTATTACATGCTTCCTTGGTGCCAGGATTTATTTTCAGAGCTTCACAGGGGCCAGAGAGATGACTCAGTGGAATAAGCACTTCTCTGGCAAGTGCAAGGGCCTGAGTTCAATCCCCGGTTCCGCAAAAAAAAAAAAAAAAAAAAAAGAGAGAGAGCTTCATAATTTTTGTTTGTTGGGACCGGGCAGATGGCTCAGTAGAATAAGCGCTTCACTGGCAAGCACAAGGGCCTGAGTTCAATCCCCAGTTCCACAAAAAAAAAAAAAAAATTTGTTTGCTTACAATGGGGTTAGTCTCAAACTTGTGTGTGCAAGTGATGCTCCTGCCCTAACGTCCTGAGTTGCTGGGTGGCATGCACAACCATAGCCTGCTGAGAACTATGCTTCCTAAAACAACTTAAGAGGTAAAGAGGAAAAATATATTATCTTGTCAAAAGCCACATAACTAGGGCCAGGGAGATGGCTCAGTGGAATAAGCACTTCCCTGGCAAGCACAAGGGCCTGAGTTCAATCCCTGGTTCCAGGGGGGGAAAAAAAGCCACATAACTAATATTACTGATACAAAAAGTCACACTCAAAAGCTGACTCCAGAACTTGTATCTTCACTGATGTATCAGCCACCCTTAATGAATAAAAGGTTGATAAATAAAAAGGCATCCAATATGAACCTGCTTATCAGCCCCCACTCAATGAGATTTACTGTAGCCAGGAAATACAGGTATTTAAAATTAGAACCCGAGGGCTGGCCAGATAGCTCAGTACACTAAAGCCTGCTTAGGCAGAGAGCAGCAGCCAGGATTCAATCCCCAGCGTGCTGTGCCGGCCCTGCCCCAGGGTCACGCTGAAAGGGTTAGACTGGGTGTGGTGGCATGTAGCACATGGGAGGCTGAAAACAGGAGAATTACTACAAGTCCGATCTGTATAGTGAGACCCTGCAGACCCTGTACAAAAAATAAAAAATAAAATAAAATTAGAAATGAAAATCTGTCATTCAGCCAGGTGCACTTAGGCTTAGGCAGAAGGATTGCCTGAGTTTGAGGTCAGCCTGTGCTGCACAGTGGGTTGAACATAGCCTATTACAAAGCAAGGCCCTGTCTCAAAAGAATAATTATAATAAATTAAAAATCTGGAGTCTGTGCATGGTGGCGCATGCCTGTAATCCCAGCGCTGGAGAGGCTGAAAACAGGAGGATCACTGTGAGTCCGAGCTGCATAGTGAGACCCTGTACCAAATACAAACATGAAAAAAAAAGTTAAAAATCTGCCATTCACAGCAAAATATTGTCTGTTTACCTTCTGCATTACTGACTGATGGCTCAGGAGTTATTCGCCCATCATTAATATCGGCACTCTGCTCACCGGCATACATCACATGGTCATCTTCTCTATTTTCTGGCCAGTGCGGTACCTCGTTGGTATCTGTCAAGCAGCCACATGCATCTTCATTCTTACTGAAGTATCTCTGTAGCCACCCTGGCACAATATTCTTAACAGACTCTGTGACCCTGCTAAGAATGCCCTGTTAGAGGAAAACAAGACTATTTTAGACATTTATTTTTTAAATAAGCATATAACTATAGAAAGTCATGCCAAATAAAATACAATTGTTTCAACAAAGTTCACTAAACTTTGTTGAAACTGTTTCAACAAAGTTCAGCTACTAAAGTTATAATGCCATAGTGGTATTTTATAAATTCTACAGAGATTATAAAATTCCACTTTTTTCTTTGTTTTATATGCCTACGTGAGCCACTGTCACAAATGACCACAGTACACTAATCCTTTAAGATCTCAATATGCAATATTTTACAGAAAATCTTTTACCAGTGTAGTAAAAAAAAAAAAAAAAAAAAACACATAACACCTTTAACAATTACTGTAATGCTTTTTGTTAGCAAAATAAAACTTCTACAAAAAGTTAAGAGTCTTTAAAAGTAAGAAGAAAACCAATAGAACAAACTCAAGATTTACTTGTAGGCTTGCGAGTTAGCTCAGTTTTTAAAGCGCCTGCTTGGACAAACTCAGTCAGGCTCAGGGGACCAAGGTTATATCCCTAGCTCCACATACCACGCCAAACCCGCCCTTAAGACAGCCCGAGCCAGTCCAAAAAAAAAACCTTTCTGGGCCAGCCTGATAGACCTGCTTAGAAAGAGCACAGCGGGCAGGGTTCGATCCCCAGCCTGCCATGCCAGTCCTGCGCCTGGGGTGCGCTGAGACAGTGATTGCGACAGGGCATGGGGGTATGCGCCTGTAATCCCAGCGCTTGGGAGACTGAAAACAGGAGACTCACTACCAGCCTGACCTACGTGGTGAGACCCTGTAGACCCTGCTCTAAATACAGAAAAAGAAAACAAAACAGAAAAAGTTACCTTTTCCTTTTTTTTTTTTGTACTAGGGATCAAACTCGGGACCTTGTGCTTGCCAAGCAATCATTTATGCCACTGAACTATCTCCTCAACCCCAAGATTTACCTTTCCTACTGATGAAATTTTATGGTATCAAATGTTGCCTGAAAATCTGAGGAATTTATTTACTTATAGTAATTTTTAAAGGGAGAAATATAATGCAATACTAGTAGTATCATTATTAACATTTCATGTAGCGTTGGTATAAGTCAGATACTATTCTAAGTAATTTATATTGGCTACTAAATTTAATCTTGACAATAACTTTATGAATTTGAAATAAACTTCCCTAAAAGTTGTCAGGGGCTCAAGGTACAACTAAAATTACGACAGTATATTTAGGAGACACTGAAACAGGGTTTCAGATTGCCAGAACCTAGGGCAATTTCTCCCAGCTAGGTTAAATAAAAACATCCTTTACTAGTACTACCAATGGGAATACACAAACATCAAACAAAATAATACGAAAGTACTCAACTTACAAGGTGTAATGAGCATCTTCTATAATTTTATTGCTAACAACAGAAAAGCAAACAGAAATCAGGCTGAGGTGACCAAATTCAGGTAACTTCTCATAATGTGGCATTACTTGAGGAACAAGACAAAAGGTCACTGGAAAACAATTTAGCAGATAAGTCCCCCTAAAAGTCAAAGTAAAATATGTAAATCATCTTTGAAAGCAAATCCAAAATAAAAGATGCTCTAAAAATCCTGTCACCCAAAAATATGGAAGACACCTCTGACATGGGAAACTGAAAGCAAATTACTCATTGCCTAAAAAGTGTAAGTGGGAACTATGTGAATATTTTTTTACATGATCTACAAACATAAATTTTCAACAAACATACAAGGCAAGCTATCAAACACATGAAGACAACACTTGTGAAATATTCGCTACTATGGTAAAAAATACAAACTCACTGCTTGCCTTTTCTGTGCCTGTGTTACATAATATTAGTTTCTTTGAGGAAAAATATACCTTGATTTAGTAGTATTTATAGAAACACACATAGTACTACTTATTTATTCCTCCCCATATTTCAGAAGACCTAAAAGTGCTTCAAATTAAAACATAATTAAAAAAAAAAAAAACATAATTTAAGACAGGCTTTTTAGGGCCAGGGAGCAGCTTAAGCAAGCTTAGGCAAGGGTACAGGTACCACTGTTTGATCCCCAGCACCACATGTGGCACCAGTCCTGCCCCCAGGGTGGGCTGAGCTGGCCACAAAAAAAATAAATTAAAAATTAAACAAGCTTTTTTTAAAAAATAGGTGTCAGGTCAGCTGAAGAGCTTACAGCAAGGACATACAATAGGAAGTGTTTTGTAGATTTTTTTTTCTCAAGTGTTTAAGTTATGGAAGTGTCAAAGATTCCTGTGACTCCTATTCAACCAAAAGCAAACTGAGGGCTGGCGATGAGTCCATGGCATAGCACCTACCCAGCAAGCACAAGGTTCTGAGCACAACTGCTGGAACCAAAAAAGAGAAAAATCCATCAAAACTTAAAACAGACACCAGCCTGTAATCCCAGCTCTCAAGAGGCTGAGGCAGGAGAATTTTAAGTTCAAGACCAGCCTAGGCTACAAAACAAATTCAAAAAGACCAAAAATGAAAAAAAAGGCTGAAAAAGGGCATGAAGCTGGCCAGATAGCTCAGCAGACTAAAGCACCTGACTAGGCAGAGCACAGTGTCCAGGGTTCGATTCTTGGTGTGCTATGCTGGCCCTGCTCCTAGGTACGCTGAGACAGATTGAGACTGGACGTGGTGGCGCGTGCCTGTAATCCCAGTGCTTGGGAGGCTGAAAGCAGGAGAATCACTACAAGTCCAATCTGT